ACAGCAGCAGCAGCAGAAGCAGCAAAAACAGAAATTGTTGCAGCACCAACGCACAAACATCAGCAGCAACAAACAGCAGCAGCAGCAGCAGCAGCAACAAACAGCAGCAGCAGCAGCATCTATATATTACCTGCATGCTTTCTACATACAAATTCTTCAGTTGGTTTAGTTTTAAATAGAAGGGGTATTTGTTTAACAGCAGCAACAAACAGCAGCAGCAGCAAAAAACATCATCAGCAGCAGCAACAAACAGCAACAAACAGCAGCAACAAACAGCAGCAGCAGCAGCAGCAGCAGCAGCAGCAGCAGCAGCATCTATATCTCACCTGCATGTTTTCTACATACAAATTCTTCAGTTGGTTTAGTTTTAAATAGAAGGGGTATTTGTTTAACAGCAGCAAAAAACAGCAACAAACAGCAACAAACAGCAGCAACAAACAGCAGCAGCAGCAGCAGCAGCAGCAGCAGCAGCAGCAGCAGCAGGATTTATATATCTCACCTGCATGCTTTCTACATACAAATTCTTCTGTTGGTTTAGTTTTAAATAGAAGGGGTATTTGTTTGTCGCTGCATGTACATAATCCGCATTTCTCTGGTTTTGTACATTTGCTGCTGTCTTCTGCTGCAGCAGCAGCAAATATTGCTGCTGCTGCTGCTGCTGCTGATGAGTAAGATCCTATTCCTCTTGGATAGTATACTGCTGCTTGTCTTTTGTTTGTTTCTCCTCCTCCTGCTGCTGCTGCTGCTGCTGCTGCTGCTGTTGCTGCTGCTGCTGCTGATGTTGTTGCTGTTGCTGCTGCTGCTATAGAAGATTGAGAATAAACACTGCTGGGTGTGAGCTGTGTGAGTTGCTGCTGCTGCTGCTGCAGCAGCTGCTGCTGCTGCTGCTGCTGCAGCTGATCGTCAGATAGCAGCAGCAGCTGCTGCTGATGACATAAACTTTGTTTTAGTTTTAACTTAAATAAACGAAAAAACTTTCGGTGTTTTAGCTGCTGCAGCAGCGGGTGCAGCAGCTGCGCATCCAGCAGCAGCAAAGAAGTAGGGGGGGTGTGTAGACACCTAAATAAAAATAAAATAAATAAATAAATAAATAAATAAATATAAATTAATATAAATATAAATAAATGTATATGTTAGTATAAATACAGAAAAAAAGAAAAAAAATGAATATATATATCCTGCTACTGCTGCTGCTGCTGCTGT